ACTGTATTTAATTAAACTTATAATTTAATGATACAAGTGATGCCACCTAAATCGACGTTAAACAGCAGTGATACTGAATACAATCAGTCTTTTATTTATAATTTACACTGTACATAGATACTTCCCAAACGTACTTTTTAGAGTTTAAAATTCAAGATTATATTTATCCTATCCTTGGCTCATTTCTAATGAACAATAAAACCACTTTTTATTCACAAATTTTGAGGGATTCACTAATACTGCACAGTTATTTAGCACTCATTAGCATATTATTTAGAATAATATTATTTAACATCAGTGGTGTTGACCACCAGTTTATGTGTCAGGATGTCATAGATCATAATAAATGTGTTATAAATCCTCGTATTTTAATTGAATTTATAATTTAATGACATAAGTGCTGTCATCTAAATCGGTGTTAAACACTAGTAATGCTGGATACAATTACTTTTTTATTTATAATTTACACTATATATAGATGCTTCCCATTTTAGAGGTAAAGAAATTTGATAATTTGTAAAACTGATATAGGTTGGCCAGCCTATATCATGTTGGTAAGCTGGCCTGTATAGGGTGTTCCCACGTGGTGGTCGCAGAATAATTCAGAATTAGAAAACTTTAAAATTTCTTAAGCTACTGATTATTAGTTTAAAATCTTTCACAGAGAATAATGCTATAGATAAACAAATTACATGGGCTATTTCAGTAGATTAAATAGCTAAAATAGAACAAAAGTCACTGGTCAATACCTAAAGTAGATCTCCGAACAATCTATTAAGTAGGAAGATTTGACTTTATACATATTATTCAATTAAAAACAACCGAACAATCCATATCTATTAATCAAAATATTGAAACTCCTCAATTGTTCTCTCCAGAGGCTGCACGTAGGCATAAAGAAAAATATAAATATATGCACATTGAATTAGTTCTAGTAGTTGAACCACTACTTAGATTAGGATAAGATATTCCAATAATACTAACTATAAAAAGAAATAGAAAATTTACAGTGTATGTAAAAAGAGGATCTGTATACATTAACCATCATTAAATTTTTAGTATCATCATATGATCCAAATTTATAAGTAAAACCAAATCTACATATGTCCTTTTTAGTGTATGTTATTAAGTAATGAGTTCAACTCTAAATCCCAAAGCTTTACAATAGTCTCCTAAAGGAGATCTTTACTTTTTAGAAGTCAATACTGAAAATACAAATAAAATTATCCGCAAAAGAGTGGTATGGGATCAAATTACAAGGTCAACTATGGTATACTTCGGAATGGGTGAAAGAATATTAGTAAGAGAAGCTCAAAACTCAAAACAAGATTAAAACTAGACCAACAAAAGACTTTGAATTCAAAGTATTTATCAACGGAGAAAATAAATATTTCAGATAAAGATCAATTATTTTATTTTTGCAGACAATTCGAATTAGCCTAGGTTTTTTTACTGGGAATTTTTTCCCCTTTAAAATTCTTTCAGGCCATTTTGTTTAAGATCATTAATTAGGATATTCAAGGTCAAGTGGTGGGATAAGTTCAATCTAGCAGTCATGTATAAAAGACAGTACAAGAATGGTACAATAGACGAATTAGTATAGATTACATATCATCACAATTAAGCCTTACCGCCAATGTAAAAAATCACAATTAATTTTTGCTTTATAAAAATTCTCTAGCATTAAATAGATTTCAAAACCTTATCAAGAAGATTGTAGTAACCATTTTAGACTGTAACAAAGAGAGTGACACCCATTTAGACGAAGATGATTGTTATGGTGTAGATTTGTTTGACCCATGGACAATAAGGGAGCATTACTAACGCAAGATAACAACCTCAAGAATCTTTCAAAAGCTCTACAAAGTTAATAATTAATATCAAGATAATAAAAATAATGATAGACACAGTCTCGTTGATTTCAACTCAAGACATCATATTGAGAAAGAAATATGTATTCAAGATCGTCTATAAAATGAAAGATGTATCAGTTTAATAGACAAAAAAATATGAGTGAGACAAACTATATAATAATGTAAAATTTCGTAATGCAGAGTTTATCTTTCTATTAGTATTTTCAGTATTTTAAGACATTTTTATCAAGTACGCAAATAATTGTAAGTTTATTATGTTATAACTTACAATTATTAATCCGTAGAACAAATTTCTTTAAAGAATCATTGCATTTGAAACACCTATTCACAATCATTGCCATCCATTGTTACGTTTATTAAATATTGGTCTTTGCCCGTGCATTGTTTGAATGTAATATTAGTGTGTTAAATGTGTTGAATTCTTGTAAATTACATCATCAACTTAATGTTTGATATGACTACACTGGGATGGACTTTCTCTTATTGAACATGTAGAGAGACTTACTAAGTTATATTATTCCAGACCAAGTAAGCAGATGAAGGAGTCTATTTTTCAATAATAAATATTTTATTGCCAGTAACAGCGGCAAAGAGACACGTATTTCTGATTTTTTTGATTTGTGATGAAGTACTAAGAAACATAGCCTCTCTCCAACTTCATTTTCTCAACTACTTCAAATTCATTGAACATCTTTCCATCTTACAACAACATATGAACACCTTATCAAATTTATGAAATTAGTGTACCTACAACGCATTTACAACTACCTCTTCATCATAATAAACATCAAGTCCCACTACTCAATATTAAAAAAGGATAGTTATTTCAGTGTAAAAAAAAAAAAACAAACAAACAAACTACCTGAAACAATAGTGTAGAACGTAGACATACTTCATTCAGTTATTAACTTCAGTCATTCTAGAGGTCTACAGGGTCAAAAATTCTATCTCATTTGAAGCTAAATGAGATGAGGTCAAAGATGATGCATTTGCGATCAGATCATTTGTTTCTCTGCAAGTGAAGTTATTCAAAACTCAGCAAACATGTCTCTTTATTTTTCTAACACGTTCATTTATCTTTATGCGTTGCGAGTTTGTTAATTGTTTGTGTTGCTTGTTGACTTACTCTTAATTATGCCAGGAACTCATATTTAATTTTAGCGGTCCATTCTTCACATCAAAATAATCTCAAGCTGGTTTTAATTTGATTCTTATTACATTTCTTTTTCTTTGAGATTTATGAAAAAGCATGTGGATTGCAGTGATCTGATGGTTGAAAGAGTTATTAGTTGTTGGCTTGGCACTGTGTTGTATGTAAACCTAGTATATAATAAGAGTGCAACCTTGAACAGACTATTGGTTTAGAGTTTAAGGTTTGATGATATTGCGGATTGTTTCCTTGTAAACATTTGAAGTAATGGAGTAAAAAATAACCTAAATATCAAATTACATGAGGGATTAAATGAACTTGTAACATATACATAGAAAAATCTTTAGTTATATTTTGCACAATAAGTGCAAGCAAATGCTAATATATGAGTAATTGGCATAACATATACATAGGAAATCTTTAGTTATATTTTGCACGATAAGTTCAAGCAAATGCTAATATGTGTAATTGGAGAAATCATGTGGATTGTATGAATGAGCCTTGCAAATCATATTTGGAAGAGGACAAGTTTTTTGGAAGAAGGATAAGGTTAAGATATAGTTGAATGACAAAATTGATTGGTACTGGCTATTGTTCAACTTACGCAATTTTTACCAAAAAGATGACTTAACAAAATTCTACATCATGAATGACATATTACGTTCGTAATTTTTCACTTTTGAAACACCAAATATGAATAGTTTCTGCAGATGATAAGGTATTGTCAATGCTCTTGCTCTTACAGTAACTGAACCACTGTCATCCACACCTGTGTTTACTCAGAATTATGTATTGAAACAAGAAGGATAGATCCAATGGAAAACACTCAAATTAGAGTAGAGAATAACCACCTGAAACCCGGGTAAAAGTGTAATGATAATTGTAATTTATAGCTCTGAAGCACTTTCTTTCTCTCTATGCCCGGATTATACAATTATATAAATATTCAAGGACGCGATTCAGTATGACTCCATCTTTCAAAAGTCCTGATATGAAAAATTGATTCTGGAAGTGTCAGATAATATACAAATAGATTAGTATTGATGATTTAAGTTGTAACAAAAAGTTACAAAAAGAAATATCTTTAAACTGATATAACTTTCATTTCTAACGTCAATAAGCTACGTAAATTTAATACCAGATATTCAATATTTGAAAGCTTAAACTATTTCAAGGGGAGCACATTTACTTAAATAAGTCTTTTCTTCAAGAATCCTAACCATCCAGCCACCGACGGATCCAACACCTGGCGAACCCCCGCGGCAGCCTGTGCTGGATTCGTCGGAACTCAATTTTTTTTGCTGTCAAAGTATTTATTTTTTTAGATATATTTCTATTATTTCCTTTGATTCACAGCAAGCATTTGTTGCTCAGCTGGTTAGAGAATGATAGAGGTGAATGTGTGTCTGGGGTTTAATTCTCAACTGCTGCAATCACCTTTTGCAATGATTTTAGTTTAATATTTTTCATCATTTTGGAGCAAATAGGCATTAAAACCAATGCAAGTGGAAGAATCGAACCTGTGATCACCATTAGAATCATACACCATTTGATCACTATGGCAGTTGGTAGATGTTGACAATGCATGCAACAAAATTTATATATTCTTTTATCAAGTAAAGATATACACCCTCCTATTTTAGAAAAATAAAATTTTAAAATAAAATTCGACCATACAGTGAGATTATTAAAATAGTCACTTTTTTTCTATTGAATTGAAATTATTAGCAAATCAAATCAAGAAAGTAAATAATTGGACCATTTTTCAAATTTCAAATTGCTACCCGATAAACATTATTACACTGGTAGATAACGTACACTCACACTTACAATTTAAAATACTATATAAGCCCCAGTTTGGCCCCCTTTAAAACTTATCAATTTAATTTAAAATTTTCTCTTTCCTATTTTGAAGCACACAATCTTCAATAAAATAATATTACACGTAAATCGAAAACTTTTCATTCTTTTATAACCATTCATTTTTAAAATAAAAAAAACATTATTTCCCGATTATAAATCAAATAATGGGGGCCAAATGGGGGCTAAGTAATTTCAACTCACGGCATTGGTTATTATTACGACCGTCGACAATCAACAACCGCCCGTGCTCAATTAAAATCCTGGATTCGCCACTGCATCCAGCTATAATTTCTGAAATAAAGCTCATTTCCAGAACTACATAATATGACATAGTTGACAATTGAAATAAGCACTATGAATGTTATCTTCATTTTGGCTTGTTCCAGTAGACTACTGGCCAACACTTCCAATGACCTGCATGATAAAAAAGGTCATTAAACTGGGACTGAACCATATGTTAGAGGAAACAAATATCACAGTTATAACTGTTATTAATCCTATGGGAAAATTCTTTCGAGATTAATCTAGATGAGATGAATCAAGTTGGAGCAAAACCCACTGCCCCTGTGAATTATAGAAATGTTGTTAGTATAGTTGGTGGTGGTGTTCTTCAGTTGAACTGTTTATCTCATCTTTCTTTTCAATGGTTGTGCGGAAATTAAACGTCAAAAATCTACGTGTTCAAATATACTAAATCTTGACAGTGTTGATTTTTAATGAGTAAAATATACAATGAATGTGGCTTCATCAGCCAACTCTTATTTATTCTGATTCTATACCTTGATAGTCAATTGGCCTTTTGCTAAGTTTGGAACACAGGTATCAGAAGGGGCACAAGAGTACATTAGAAAAGATTAAGACATTATAGAGTCTTATCTAGTGTACTAAACTTGCACTAACTGGTCTCAAAAGGATTTTGAACTACGCAATAGAATCAAAATTCTCTTAGATCCCTATTAAAATTCCCATTTTTGCTGGTTCTCAAATTGTGGTCAGAAACCAAGTAACCAACTTCACTGAACAAGACCATGTTGCCATGCATGAAAAGAAAACTATATCCATTCTCAGTAGGGAAAATATGTTGTGGAACCCAATAAATTAGAAGTCATTCAAGAAATTTTGCATAAGTTTGAATACAGATATTGGTACAACATATCTATAGATTAAGCAGCTTTAGAGCCGAGCTTGACGGGGTAAAAACTTAAAAGGATAACTCACAAAAAACTTCATCAAAGCAAGATCACAAATGTGTGCCACCAAATAAATTGCAGTAAAAAAAGATAAATTCTTACTTGACAATGGCATGAAGTACACCGACCAACATGTGCTAGTTATTGGACAATACGTACTTAGAACCTTGCTCTAGTGCATCGCACCAATAATTCTTAACTTGCAATTCAGATGCTTCAGCTTCCAATATTGCTGCACTTCGAGTATTTACCCAATCATAATCACCAAACAGAACCACTTGGTTTCATATCAACGAGTGAATTACCATATTTATATTCCTCATAAGCAAATGACAAACCTTCAAATTGCCCATATAGCGGAGTTTCATGACATTCATTTGAGTTTAAAAAAATCAGTTTATGTTCCACAACCGAAGTTTTTGGTCCATTTGATTTGGGAGGTAAAAGCAATGGGACTTATTCTGGTAGTGACTCTAATGCAAAATAATCCTTCCTGCTGATTCACTCCAGAAAGTTTATAACCAATGTCTATTTCTTTGCTTCTTCCCATGTAATGCGATAAAACCATGTGGTGTAGTGGCATAAGTAATGGTATTTTCTGTTCATTTGGAGCCTTGCTGTTCTATGTTACTGTTCAAATATATTAATTAAAGAAAAAAATTTCATGAGTCAGACACAAGTATCAAAGTCCAACCTTTGCATGGTTCCAACGCTTAATGAAGTGCCGAGTAATGTCCCTACAAGGTGGTCCCCCCAAAAGCACAATGAACATTGTGCCGTGGCATACGAGGATATTTCTCTTGATCCAGTTCGTCTTTCATGGCATTTTCCCAAGAATTTGGTTCCAGTTCTCTATAAAATTCAAAGGAGTTAATACATATATCAGAAACACTGGACTGCTCTACATATCTTCTATGTATTTCAGAAGAAAATCAAGCCTCGATCAAATAATAATGATTAACATAATTGGCTTTTAGTTACTTACCTAGTAGGTCTACCAGTGGGACGACGCTACAATTTCTCTATTTAGGATATGTTTTATATTCACCATCGAAATTTGTAATATATGGTCCAAGAATTACTAAACTGAAAACAGATGTAGTATTGTTATCAAATCCATTAACCAATTGAAGTTCAACAACCAAAATGTTGACATAAAATATCTCATATATTCCAATTGATCGAACTTTATTATCAGTTCCGAGTTTCAATAGTTGCCTATAAATCTTACACATCTTAATGGAAAAAATAATATACCTTGGATTATAGAAGTCTTTTCCAGGCCAGGAAAGGAGGGAAATCACCTACTTTGTGATTAGTTGCGTCATATCGGCCAAAGCACAAATCCAGTCCTCCAATAAAGCAAATGTTGTGATCCACAATGACAAGCTTTTCGTGGTGCGACCTGCATGTGGCAAACATTTTAAAGTTAGTAATTTGAACAAAAAATAAGTACACCGAATTTTTAAATGTGTACATAAATGGAGATCTCCACTTAATCTCAAATAAATTTTCTTTTGAGTTCATGAACAACGTACTACAAGTCAACTCCAATTGGCAAATGGTAAGGATACCGCAAAACTTTAACATTTTCGTGAATGTGAAAAAGCCTTCTCTTACTATATGAGCTTTTAATTTTCAAAGCAAGAGAAATTTCCTTGGGTATGCCATTTTGTGCTTTGCTATAACAAATGAAGAATTGCCTTCATTATATGAATTATAGCTATGACAAATGACGAATAATAATTTTTATTGCAGTTGGACTAATTCAAATTACACATTCTTGAAGAATAAAGCTATTGTTATTCAAGATGATGAAGTTCTTCGAACAGGAAAAAATTAATAGCATTATACCTTGAATAATATTTATTAGCTGCCGCTTCCTTGACAAGCCATTTGATACGATGCAAAGTTACGAGTTGCACAACGCCCTTCTCAATAGAGTCCACTCTTCAGGTAGTTTCTGTGCCCGTACTTAAGCAAAACAAATTATGAGAAAATAAGCTTTAGCACATTATTGCATCATTAGTCCAAAAGATAACTATGAAAGGAAAAAAATAATAAACACGCTTAGTTTCCATCCATTAGTCACATTCTCCGTCATATTTTGCTCTACCTCCATGAACTTCTTTTGAGCATTTTCAATCACATTTCATGCCATGGCTAGTTTAGTCTCTGTTGCAACCTTTGCATCAGCCAATTCTGCACGCATCTCATCAAATGAATTTTCAATCTACATAAGTTTACCAGATTAGAAACTATGACAAGGACCATACACATCATAAAAATAGAAGGCAAAACCTCACAAAATAATACATTTTTAGCAAATTCTTTCTCAATTCCAACAGCCTTTTTCAGACTATCTTCCCGCTTCCTGGCATCTATCAAATCAGATGCATGAGCAGCTTTTTCGCACTTAAGCTTCAATTCAGCAGAACTAATAGCAATTTTAGCTTGTTCGTAACTGAAAACCCACTCCTCCTTTTCTAGAATGAGAAGGCCCATGCAAGTTTGATAATTATTTAGCTACAAATCAAGAACATCAACTTATAACTAAATTAGAATCTCAACAACGAACATGTAAAACATAAATAACGTGCACAGTTTAGGAAGTTTTGTTAATAAACAGTCCCTAACAATTTTTTTTGGCTAAGCTTAAAAGATTTACTTATAAGTAAATAAGTAACTTTTTTAACTTAGAAGCAAGAAAAAAATAGCATATCTAAGCATATTAGGCAGAAAAACATTTTCAATCTTAGCCAAACATGCTTTAAGTAAAGCAATGAAGTCATCAAATGCTTACCATAGTTATTATGCGAATAAATTCCTTAGCATTGATCAAGTCCCAATTTCCATAAACGAATTGTTTTATCAGCTCAAATAAGTGAACAACATGAAAATGAAAATGCAACATAACTCCTACTATTCTCCTCTCCAGTAAAAGTATCATGAAAATGCTATGTGGCAATTCTTTAGTTGCATTTTTGCTGACTGAACAAAAAGCTTTATTTACATAAATACTGCGATTCACATGTGTACCACAATTACTAAAATTTTATCATTTACAATTAAACTCCAAGTATTTGTCAATTCTTCAATCAACAAATAAATGAAAAAAAATTCAAAGAAGCAATCTAACCTTTGGGCCACTTGGCGAGAATTTTATCCTTAAGCCTTTTTTTCACTAATCAACAATTTTGATGCAGAAAGAGACACCGTTTCTTAGCCCTTGAAAGCAGCAAAATTTTAGACCGTTTCAATTGGGCGAACAATTTTGCAGCTATTGGTTCGTTTAGATACTCACCCTTAGCCCATAGTGCCCTGCGGCTTGTGGTACCGGCACCACCAGCCTATGGTACCCCGTCCTAAGTGACGGCGACACAAATTTCTCAGCCACTGGATTCAAGTTTGACAACATTTTCTCCAAATCCCTCATCTCTCTTTTAAACACCTCACCCCCAACATCTTCACTGTTCATTTTCTTATGACTCTAGTTATTACTGCTATTAATATTAGCCTTTGAGACTCATTTCCATTTATACAGTACAACTGACTGTTGGATTGCAGAGGAGATATTTTCTGAACCATCAAATGAAAATTTTGGTCAGCTGGCTTCGTTGACTTCTGATTAAAGGAAGACTGCTGCTGATGATGATCTACAGCGCTAGTGATGTCATTTTTTGGGCCATCCGGGTCAGCCCGATTGGCCACGTTAATGATGAAAAACACCAAAATCACCAGAAAGTCACTGAGACAAATAAAAAATCATGAAAAGCAGCACCACAAATGAACGGGAATAGCGACGTTTGCTGTTGGGTGATGAAGAAAAAGAGAGTGATGAAGGTTGATGATGGCCACCCCATCCATTCCAACGTCGATTGTTGTTCTTCCATTCACGGGTCTTCTAAGGATTCCATATTTTGGGGGTTCTATGTACATTTGAGAGAGAGAGAGAGAGAGAATAAGCCATTTTATAGTTCATATATTTAATGGAACCAGTTAATGAACAATAAGGGATTACATTGTGAACACGACAAAAATGGATAGTACTCCCCAGTGCCTTTTTTAAGGAAAAAACCAGTCATTTGCCCATGATGTTAGTGTGTTCAATGTGTCAGATTCCTATGAATCACATCCTCAACTCAATATTACAACTGTGTATAATGTATGCTCTCTTGCTTGACAAAGCATTAGAGCTATAGAAGGGAGAAAAGCGGGATTAAGTATTGATTTTGAATTTTGGTTCGCTTCATTTAATTCCTCGCTTCTTAACATACTTATGTAATTACATTCTTCAGGATATTTTTCTTTCGAAAACTAACTTTTCCCCAATAGGTCAGCATATATAGCCTTAACTCATCCACTATAAACTTTTAACATATGGCTCTACAATAATGGAATTTATATGTGCAACGCCGAAAGAGAACTGCATCCCCGATACAAGATTCTTTTGGCTAACGAATATACTCCATCTAGTAGTGAGCAAATGCTGCCTTGGATGGCCTGCACATTTGGCATTCAACTGTTAAAATTTCTATGCTGAAAAAAAAAATTCAAAATTAAATCTAATACCTATATAAATGTGAAGGAATTTCCATTGAACGCCATATAGGTCTTTAGCTATGAGCTCCTAGGAGGGCCTCTGCTCATGATAATCCTATTAGAAAAAACGTAGCACAAAATTTATAGGAAACTTCCCTTGAATATGACCTATCAAGTGCAATTAGATGCTAGAAGACTAGAAGAATGTCAAACCAGAGGCAGGAAACAATCTTCAGTAGCCCTACAAGGGACAAAAATCCCCTATGGATACTGCTGTCAGAAGCAATAAGAGTCTTGCAGAACATGAGGGAGGTAGATTTTGTTAGTGTAACTCCATCCCCATCTTCATGTGATGCATATAATATGATTTGGCTCGGCATAAGGACGTATTCTTTAACATCAGAATTCAAATTGCTAAGAAAGTTTCTATATGCAGCCTCAAAGTCCTTTTTTGCTATCTTCAGTCAATGAATTGTAGACAACCAGCATACCCCGTCACAATATACAACATAAATATTTAATTAGGGGATACATCAAGCACAAAAAGTAGTGGAAAGGGTTAATAAAGTATGCAAAAACAAAAATAAAAAAAGAGTAGATACCTACTGAAAAAATTATGCTACTAAAACTAACGTTTATTCATATGGTCCAAGAAATAATTCATGTTATGCACTCCACAATGTTGTAGGCAAGATCCTCACCAATTCCATTTTCAGTATACCTTCTGAACAATATTCTACAATACCATGCACAGCTATCATCATCAAGCAGAAAAGAAATTAGTGATATTAAAAACCACTCTTACCTCTCTCCCCTCTCTCCCCAAGAATATCACTGTTGTACTCCTGCTCGAAAGTAGTGGCAAAAGTGAAAAGAGAACCAAGGACAGCTAACAATCCAAGGGCAACTTCTGTAGTTCTGCCATGAACATCCTAAACATGAAGGCAAAAAACCACCAAATCTCATATATTAAGAACCTCAAATGTGCACACGTCCAACCTCGCACACCCACACCCACAACCACCACCATCTTCGACAAACTCATAGATGCACAAACCTGGTGGATAGCAAAACTCGAATTAATGCCAGCACCATTGATTTCTTTCCCCTGCACATATAACCTTCTTATCGAGGATCCCATTCCCTTTGGATATACAGCTATCATGCTGATGTGTTTTAGAAAGTCAAGGCCAAATGACTACAAATGGCCCCAAAGAAATTCCTGTGGGAGAACACTTTCTCATAATTATCAGCCTGCTACACATGCCAACATGATGAATGAGTTGTTGAAAGCTGGTAAACGGATTAATAACAAAAAATAGACACTCTCATCTGCTATCTCTTGTAAGTAATCATTTTTTACACCAAATAAAAATTCAAACATTTATTTTTAAATACAGAGAGAGCCATGTGAAGAGGATGACACCAAAGCCCTCATGGCTAAATAAACAAGGCAGTTTGATACTTGTGCTGCATCAGATATCAAGAGCAGCTCCAAATCACTGCTAGAGATAGTGTCCCCAGGGTGCCATTTTCTTCGAAAAATAGCAGCACAAGCCTTAGCAAATGAGTGAGAATCTTTTCTCAGACCAATCTGCATGAAGAAGGATATGGCAACAAGCTTTAAACGAGGGAAAACTCACATTATATTTTGAGAAGGTGACAAAAGTAGAAAAAATAACAAATTACCTTGACCATAATATCAGATTTCGATTCTGCAAGAGAATCATTTTAAGTTCTGAGCTTGAGTTCGTCCTTAAACAAATGCAAAAGAGATTCAATCATCTACACAGAAATCAGTAGAATATCATGAAGGGGCAGATTGACTTCTTTGCAGACACAAATTTATAATGAAAGAAAAATAGCTCAAAAAAGCGAAGATGTCCACATTTCAATGCATCAATAATTTGGAGGCAGGACAAGTGTTCTAGACGATAGTAATGACAAGAATGACTTAACATAATTTCACCAATTTTCCATTGAAGAATATCACTTCTCAAGGTTTTATTGGAACAGAACAATAGATAATTTGATGGAGAGTCACATAAGGTACGATATGCATTTCAATCCTTTTCAAACTTTACTAACCTAACATAAATGTATGGAGATAAAGGAAACTCTTTAAAAAAAAAAAAAAGGCGCATAGCACATAAACCAATGACCACCACATGAATGAATACTCTTAAGAAGTTTCGGATTTCCAGTTCATTCATTTATATCTTTGACAGTAGTAGTTCCCATCTTGGACAAGCTCGTTTCAGCTAATTATAAACTATAAAGTAGATGCATCTTATCTTGCATATAATTTACAAACTACTAAGATGTTTGGACAAAGCAAGTCCTAGAGATGGTGAGCATAAAGTGGAATAATCGTGAAGGGAAAATAATTATATTCTATGTTGGTTGAAATCTATGAAACAGTAAAGGAAAATAATCATACTCTGTATTGGTTAAAATGTAATAACAAGTGCACCTCATTATTCACCAAAACCATTCGATAAAAATTATTTACAGATATACTGGAATCCACTTCAGAATTTGGACATTGGTTAGTCACATAACAAATAACTCATGTAAGATTACATTGTAGAAGAAGAAAGGCATAATTGTAGACCAAGAGCCAATTTTCGAGCAAATTTTCCTTGAATCATTGACCTGATATTTAATTGTCTTGAGTAAAAAATTCTAATAGTGGATTTATGCAGTTTATACTTTGCGAGATCAGAAAGGAAAGTTTTATAAAAAGATTTTTCAATATGAAATTCAAAATTCTTTTCAATAGAATAAAGCCCATCACTTCTCTAAGAGCTGCACTTGGAGTGTAAAACTAGAAATTAGCATAAAGCTTGACACAAATTACTGTGGAGAAAGAAGCACGACATAAGCCTGCAAAGCTTAATGCCATTGAGTTAATAACCAGGTGGTATATTAGATTTAGAGCAAAGTTTAAAAAATAAAAGATATTCCCAAAAGCAATTGTGACTCCTTGCCAATTCCACTGCAACTTTCTTTCTTCCTATTAATTGCTATTTGTATTTGTATTTTTATTTTTTTGTGCATGATGTAAGGTGTCCTATATGGAGAATCTGAAAAGCAACTAATAATTCTATTAGGACCATGGATTATCATATTTTTGTTGGCATCACTTGTTTCATGATTTTAATCCCTAATAAACAATGAAGAAAACAAAATAAGAAACACGCAAACACACCAGTGGCGATTTATCCTCAATGTCACATCTACATTCACCTGCAGCCATAAATTTTTCACTCTAACGAAGAAGGATATTGTCAATAGATAAAGTGTGTAGTACACTAATGAAGAAACCTGCAAATACACATTTGTGGCGATTCATACTCAATGAAATAATTGATTTTCTTATGGTGTAGAATGGTGTCTCTTATTCCCACTGCCCATGTTCTTTGTGCTATGTTCTTCTTTTAACCCCTCCACAAGTTAAGTGATTTTAATAAAGGGAGCATCAGGGGTGTCCTTTATTTATATACATTAAATTGTTTTCCTACTGAACTTAATATGTTATAAAGGATTCCACAGAAGAGGAAAAAACTTTATGGGTATGTTTATTATCTACGAGAAGAGAGTATTTAGAAAGTCAATCTTCTACAAAAAGAGTCTTTAAAAAACCAGTCTTTGAACTCGGAACATTCTATTATGCCCATCAAAAGCAAGGGTATCTCTTTCTCTTCATAAAATGCTGAGTTGGAGGTTACAAATTTTTTACCCTTACATCTGCATTATATATACATTCCAGCCTTGGTTTAGCATCCAAGTTTGATAGAAATATCTAGATTCTTGCTTGCACTGCAGATACAGTATGGAATGAATCGGATCATTAACATAAATGGTTTTAAGGCACTTTACTATAAATGCAACATATATTTTATTTACCGTAGTATGCTTCGGAATACCTTTTTGGGATCTTGTCAACAAAACTATGCTTTGTTGTGCAACTATAATATTATAGTCAGCAACCTGAAATAAAGTAAGACCAAAACGACTAACTGGAATATATATGTAAAACATATTTCACCTAAAAAACAAAAAGGAAAAACACATAAATTCCTCAACATAACACATTAGAACAAACAAAGCAGGTGGCAGCGAAAACATATGGGAATAACCATTGTAACTGTCAATTGGCCCAATACTCCCACTCTCGAAATCAAACACTCCGATACTGTGACACTTTCCAAACCCAATCATATTCCCTGCGACAAAAAAAATCATTTGTAAAAAATACAGAATTACCTTTATACCCATTATACCCAAAAATCACCAAAGCAGAAGTTTAAAATGTGCAATTATCACCCAGGAACAACAACGTATCACCCAAATTAGTCACTTTGACCAATTTTTCATCAATTTCATCCTACCTAAAAACTTTGATCTTATCGTCCTCTCACTCGTATAACAGTCAAATTCCTAGTAGAACTCAAAATCCTCAATGTACCCCAAATCATCCTCCAGTCCAACAGTTAAATAATTATTGACTAACAATATATTATTTTAATCATCTCATTTTTCTCTTTCTCCACATTTTCAGCTTCTTTTTAGAATTTCAAAACAACACTCAGAAAGTAAGAATTACTTAAATATGAATTTAAGACACACACATCATATATGGCAAAACCATCACACAAACTTCAATTGTTCTCCGAAATTTTAGATTATAGACACATGAACCAAGCAGCAAAAATTCAAGAAACCAACATACACAGTTCATTGTTTACCTATGAACTTTAGTTTTAGCAACCTTTGCACTGCTCTACATCCATGATAATTGCAGAAAGAACATCACCGTAAAAGGAAGTAATCCTTTTAACCTCTGCTAGTACAGATGCAGTATGGAAGTGAACACCATCCTTAATTGTACGCATCGGGAAGCAGTCCCCTGTGCTTCACTGGTAATACCACTACCCTCCATTTTGCGCTTTTAAGAGTTGGAACTGACAACAGGAAAATGGTGAGAGCAGGAAAAAATTATACAAAAGAGCAACAAATTGAACAAATAATACACAACAAGAACAGCAAAGGAACGTACTTTAGCTATTTTGAGTTCGATTTCTCAAAAGATCGAACAAAAAAAAATCACAGATTCAACAATTGAAATGAATAAACCATAACAAATCTAATTGTTACTTCATCCTAAATTAGTTGGTAACCAAGGTGATGAGATATTTAGTGAACAGTATTCGAACAACGTAAAACTCGCTTGTGAACAGTAATTTACCCACATTGGGTGTGAAATGGAGAACTCACAAATGAACAGTGGAGGAACGGTAAAGTCTGAGAGGAAACTCGCAAATGAACAGTTCCTTGATATTGCCTGTTGTTGACACACTAAAAGTGTAACCCAAATCAAATAGTTCAAAGAGTGAAGCCTAATTGGGGAGTCCAGGATAAAGATCCAAACAGAATTATTGATAAATGCAGTGAAAACCCACGAACACAGTGATATCATCGCCCAAACTTGCAAGACGCCCAAAATCTGAGCGAATGAAGTGCCTTACGGTCGCCCAAAGCGATGATCCCTTTCTCGTCCAAACCTTCGAATCGCCCAAAATCTTAGCAAACATAAAATATTATGATTGTCCAGAATAGCAGTTATTAAAGCAATTATTGAGTAATCTTATCACATTCTATGATTCAAGAAGCCCAGTTGAAGGCAGTTGAACGACAAAGAGTAATGACAGCAGTTAGAGACGACAGTTCCACGACAAGTTAGCCACCATAAAGAAAGTGGGTAGTTATAAAACAATCAAGCAGTTTCCAAGCGGTTTGTCACAAGGAAGTCATCAAGGAAATATAAAATGGAAGAGAAGACATAGAATAAGCGGGATCAAACACTCTCAAACAGAGAATATGTAATTTTAATTTATTAACTTAAATTTAAACACTTCTTTTAATACTCGTGTACTTGCGCCCCTTGGAGGCATTCTGTTTATTTCCAATTGTAAATCATCGTCAATAAAACACCCATTTTTGGGATTTTGTCTCAAGAAGTCTGTTCCTTACACAATCGTCTGACCCCTTTTTTAATTGTTAGCGACAACTCGCGCGAAACAATTTGATACGCCCAGTGGGACGTTGGTGTTTGGTGTTGAGGATACAAAAAGTAAAACAATATGCCTCACAAATCTGATAAGGAAGTAGCAAGTCATGGAGGAGTTCAGTCTGTAATCGAGCGATATGAGGAGTAGCAAAGCTCTCCACGAACAGAGGGACAGAGTTAGAGCAGTTACAGTCGTTACGAACCAATGACTGGGTTGAGTCCTTGAACCATGCGTACAATACTTGGAGAACTCACACAGGATGTCGTTGAACAGGTAAATCTACGAAATGTTCATAATATGGAAGGATTTACCCAGAATAGGAATGCACATTATGACAACATGGCCAAACAACTGAATACATTAAATGAAATAATGAATAAGTTAGTAGGCCAAATTTGTTAGCCAATTGTGCCTATTACAAGTCACTTTCAAGTTAGGACAATTGTAGGACATGATTCCCCAATCCTAAGTCCAAATCAAGGGATATAACTACCTTTTGGTCCATCTACTTCAAACCAGGGGATAGTGTAATGCCAAATCGGAATAGTGGTAATGGTACATCGAACTTGGGTGGTAGCCTAAATGTAAGAGACAATGTCCTAAATAATGGACAGAACACTCCACGTGTTAATGATGGAATAAATATTCAGGCTAATGGTAACAATGGCCCAAATCATGGCAACTTTGTTGCCTACCAAGGACCAAACATCAAGCCTCAGGCAAATCAATCGATCAACAAACCTGTAGGAATTCCATATGACCCCAACGTCATACTGAGAAATCAAATTATGGAAATAGTACAGGATCAAATGGCTTTTGGGGTACGTCCTGTCATTAGGCCGACTTACACAAAGCCATATCCTGATTGGGTAGACCAAGCATATACATGGCCCAAAGGGTATAAAGTGCCAGAATTCTCATTATTTACCGGTTTAGGAGAGATGTCTACTCTAAAACACATAGGGCGATTCACACTACAAAGTGGTGAAGTAACCAACTACCATAAAATGAGGTTGTTCCCTAGTTTATTAATAAGAGTAGCTTTCTCCTGGTTCATCAATTTGCCAGCGAACTCTGTTCAAACATAGCGACAATTGAAGCAATTGTTCCATGTTCATTTTTATAAGACTGAGTCTGAAGTTACTTTGACTAATTTAGCGAATCTACGTCAAATGCCAAATGAATGAGCAGAAGGTTTCCTTCAAAGGTTCAAGACAGCAAAAAGTAAATGTTTTGTACATTTGCCCGAAAAGGAATTTTTCAAAATCACTCAAAGTTGTCTAAGTTTTCATTTGAAAAAGAAATTCCAAGACAGGAATTTCCTGATATTTTCCAATTGAGCGCAAACGTGATTAGGTATGAACGACTAATAAGAGAATAAGAGCAAATGAAAAATTCTAGCAAGGGGACTTATTATAGAAACCCAAATTTTGATGTTCATACAATTGATGACGAGTATTACGATCAAACCGAAATGTGTTTGGCCGAATTAATCAAAGGAGACACGTATACTTGTCCTATAATGGCTAAGCCTAGATCGTTGGGCAAGAATGAGCTTATAAAAGATGAAAACAAAAAGGTTAGTACGTTCTCGTTCGATGTAACCAAAGCTGACCTTATATTTGATAAACTATATAAGGATAAGCAGATAAAGCTGAACGATAAACATAAGTTGCCAAGCCCTGAACAAATCAAGGGTAAAAAGGATTGTAAGTGGCATAATGCATGGTCACATTTGACTAACAACTGTTTGATTTTTCGCCATGTGTTGCAGGACGCCATTGAATCAGGATGAATTACGTTCGAGGATAAGAAGAAGATGGCAGTGGATGAAAATCCTTTTCCACAGCCACTTGGGATGAACATGATGACGACTGGTTTCAAAAACAAGTTGCCAAAATTCAAGTTGGTTATAGACGACGGAGAGGAGGACCCTGGGCCACACTCTAGTGTCTTTGAACGTATTAAAGAGAAGGAGCCTAAAAAGAATGAAGACGTCCTGTGTGCAAGATGTAAAGGAGAAGTAAGTGCAAATACAAAAAAACCAGGGATATGGCAGCACCACCATCGTCCTAGTTTTTTCTCAAACGCTCAGCCTGTTAGAGGGCGAGGTACATCATTCTATAGGGACCGCCTTTTGAGAGGCAGTTCAGATCAATAAATAATGGGAGAACATTTAGGTCACAACCTCGCCAACCAAATGTATGGTATTCATTCCAGTATAATACAGGAAGGGTGATACCTTTCAACGAGATGACTAGAACCCAACAAAAGCATTTTCAACGGAATTATGGACGAATGATGAGGCAACAACAGGGAGTGTCATGTCCTAAGGCGCCTAAACTACTCGAGGTAGCCAATCAAAATGTTCTTGAAGACAGTGAAGAGACTGGTACAGGTGAGTCGATGGAAGAATTGCTAGAAAATTCTTCTGGGAGATTAAAGTTTGAGCGAGACAGAAGGAATGAAGAAAATCCAGATCAGTCCCTTAACATTCAGTTCGGTACGTTACTTCCTGTCATGGCTAATAACTATTTACTAGCCAATGAGTTCAAGAACAAAGAGAAAGAAGAAGAAGAAATGGAGGATAACGAAGAAGAAGCATGTGTGCTGAAATGTGAAGAAGGCCAAACTTCTAGAGGGGCCTACAATGATGAAGAGGATGATGGTATGACGGACATCGAAGAGGAAATTAATCTGGAAGCAGAAAGAAGAAAGAGGGGAGTATAGCACAATACCCTATTGAAACAACTACATAGAGAAGGTGTTCGTGAAGTGGATTTGCTGGGAGAACCATTTGGGCATTTTTTCGATTATTATGTGTTGTATGGGACACCCAAGAGAAAAAGGAGAGTACATCGCTCTGAAAAGTATAGGTCATCTCCAAGAATATTGCTTCCTTCCACAGGTTGGATAACTGAAGAAGAAGCATTAAAAAATAATAAAAAGGAAATTTAGGAAGCGGAAGCTCAGTGCGACATACTGCACGTTGACTTATCACAAAAGGATAATTCAACAGAGAACAAGCAGGAAGTGGAAATAGATGCTGCCGAAAGGGTTATTTTTAAGAGACCAGTCATGAAGTTAACTAAACACTTGAGGCCATTGTACGTTAAGGCTTTAATTAACAGTATACCTGTGGCGAAAGTACTTATCGACAATGGAGCAGCTATAAACACCATTTCATCTAAGATGATGAGGAAATGTGCAAAGACAAAAAGTGATATGATTCCAACAGAAGTCATCCTTACAAGTTTCAATGGAGGAGCAACTTCAACTAAAGGGGTTATGCCATTGGTCATAACTATGGGGACAACTACTAGGACCACAGTCTTCTTTGTAATAGATGGTCCTACTAGTTACAATGTGTTATTAGGAAGGGATTGGATACACGGAAGTCGCTGCATACCCTCATCGCTCCATCAATGCCTGGTTTTCTGGAATGACAAGGGTGAAGCATAAGTGGTGCAGACAGATTATAGACCTTTTATCGTAGAAACAAACTCAATGGAAAGGTTCATGTATGAAGGAAATTACGGACCTGTCAGAGTAATCCAAGATGGAGAAGAAACTCAAATTGTCGCACAGAGCGAAGAGTCGTTTTCAGTAGATGCACTCACTGAAATGTTCAGTCAAATGAAGCCAAACATAGTGGCCCTAGAAGAGCCAGTAATTGGCAAAAAAGTAATCAATGAGTTTTAAATGAATTGTAAGCAACAAAGGCAAATGGCCGATGTTCAGGCCTTCAAAGCCAAATTAATGGCTTTCAATGAAGAATATAAAGACAAGACGAAAGAAGAAGCAGCTTTGAAAGCATTGGGAGACAAATTGGCAGTGTTCGAGTTGGAACAAAGAATTGGCCGAGAAGTCAACAAGGTAGATTGTTTCGAAGAAGAAGTGCCTATAAGGGAAATGAACGATGAAGTAATGAGGATCACCAAGCCTGGATACGCTCAAGCACAAGACCCTCTGATTAAAGTGAATATTGGCAATGAAGGGGAAGATCGCCCAACATTCGTCAGCCAGATGCTCGATCAAGAGGTTAGTGGTAAATTAGTCGCTTTACTAAAGGAATATAAGGATTGTTTTGCTTGGAAATATGAACATATGCCTGGTTTAGATAGAGATTGGTGGAATATATATTACCAACCAAGCCAAATTTTAAATCTCATAAGCAACCTTCTAGGCGCTTTGCTCCTAATGTACTTCCTGAGATTAAGAAAGAAATAGAGCGATTATTAAAAGCAGGCTTTATCAGAACAGCCAGATATGTCGAGTGGTTGTCCAATATCGTGCCAATACTAAAAAAGAATGGTAAATTAAGGGTGTGCATAGACTTTAGGAACCTAAACATAGCAACACCCAAAGATGAATATCCAATGCCTACGGTAGATTCTTTAGTAGACTCGACTGTCGGACACGTAATGTATTCCTTCATGGATGGGCATTCAGGATACAATCAAATTTATATAGCTGAGGAAGATATACACAAAACTGCCTTTAGATACCCTGGATCTCTAAGATATTTTGAATGGGTAATTATGCCTTTCGGCCTGAAAAATGCAGTAGCGATTTATCAAAGGGTAATGAACTTGATTTTTCATGATATGATAGGCAAGTTTATTGAGGTGTATATAGATGATATAGTGGTCAAATCCATTA